ACATCCCTGAGGAGAGCCAGTGCTGAGGGTTATGGTGGAGGAGGAGAGGTTGTGGATCCTCACTAACTGTGGTCTGTTTGTTAAGAAGTCTAGTACCCAGTTGCAAATGGAGGGTCTCAGTCCTAGTGTGAGTAATTTGTCCATCAGGGTTTTGGGGATCATGGTGTTGAAGGCGGATGTGAAGTCCACAAAGAGCATATGGATGTAAGAGTTTTTCTGCTCCAGGTGAATGAGAGCAGTGTGGACCACAGATGAGATGGCATCCTCTGTTGATCAGTTCTCACGGTATGCATACTGATGAGGGTCCTTGTTGATGTTGATGGTTGTTTTGATGTGAGTCATGATCAGTTTTTCAAAGTATTTAGCGACTATCGCGGTGAGGGCCACTGGCCGATAGTCATTCAGATTAGTCCTGCAGATGGCAGTCTTCAGGCAGGTGGGAACTGTCTCCAGGGTAAGTGAGGTGTTAAAGATGTCATCGCATGTCAGCCTCACGGACAGAAACTGGAAGTTGGTTCCACATGAGAGGAGCCTGATAACTTAAAGCTCTGCCTCACATTCTACTTTTGAAAACTCTAGGAGCCACAAGTAAACCTGCATTCTGAAATGAAATGCTCTGTTAGGAAATATGGAACAATAAGATCTGTAATATAAGATAGAGCTAGGTTGAAATGTTGAAATCAAAGCTCTATAGCGACATAAGTCATACTTGTAGCTTTGTGAGTGAATTGCAACCATGTGAAAATACCATGTAAGATTTGGTGTTAACCACACATCACCTTTACACCTTTAGTTTCCTTGTTTTCTTCTTTTTCAAGCTTCTCTTGTCTGATGAGACTGCTTCAAGCAATAAAGTGAAATGTCAGGACAGAGGTTACTAATAGATTTTTTTTTTTTTGGTAGATGCAGGAAGTCCAGCAGAGCAAGGAGAGGACACTGGCCAACAACCGAACCCTGGCTGAGCAAAACCTCACCCTCCAGCCGCAACTCGAGCAGAAGAAGGAGCAGCTCACCAAGTGCTACAGTTGTCTTCAGGAGAGCTTCGAGTCCTATCAGCTGCACAAATCTACAATGGGTATGCGGAAACGGGGAACCATTTTGATTTACCATTTGATCTCTGTGTCTTGTTGTTATGTTACCTAGTATTTAAGAAACCTAGGTCCATGGAGTTATTGAGAGTTTATACTTTAACAAATTAGGGGAAGGCTTCAAATAATGCCCGATCACGATTGAGTTTTAAACCTTTATTTCTCAGGTGGTATATGGTTTATTGGATTGTGATGTAAGTTGAAGCTCTTTCTAAAATGATGTGTACAACATCTGTGGCTCATGTCGCGCCAGTGGTTATAGTTTAAGTAGGGGACAGTATTTAGTTGTGATAGTATCCATGCATACTCGGGTCTCTCTTGTAAATGAGTCCCTGAGGCTCAATGGAATTAACCTTCTAAATAAAGGTTGAATGAATGAAAAGAATGGAGAGTAAATTATGTAAGGTATACAGTAGTCCCTGTGTAGTAGTAGTCGCTACTTCGAAGTTCGACTTTAGCGGACTCGCTCTTTCGCGGTTTTTCAAAGTACAGTACTGTAAGATTAGGGGTGCACCGATTGCAGTTTTCTGGCCAATCACCAATTTCTAAAAAGCCTGACCTGCCAATTGCGATTTTGTTTTCTAAGTGACACTGTCAAGTGTTGTAAGGCCACAATACATCTTCAATTTTCCATTCTTTTATTGAAAATGCCCTTGAACAATATCTTAGAAACAATACAAACTTGTTCTAACTGGCTGTGAGATAGTTCTCAATCTACCCAATGGAGTTACCACTTAAGTTATGGCCAAACCCCACTGCAGCCTCTCCTCTAAGGGGTATAGCAAACTAAGCCTAACACTTGAGTATCACCCAGAATAATTTTAGGTTAGTTCAATTTAGGCTGTGTTGAAAGTGACTCACCCAGATTTGTTAATGATCTCCGTGAGCCACACCCTTATCTCACCCCGTGGCTCACCCAACCTAGCAGCCGGAGTTGGATTGTCGTCCACAGGGAAACTCGCATTCATAGTCATTCACCTTCGTTGTGGAACGACAATTCTTACTGATCTATCTAAAAAAGTTAAATCTGGTCCTCTGGACATTCAAAAAAACAAAACAAAGCAAAACAACAAAAAAATGTAGAAACGTTTCGTCTCTCATCCAAGAGACTTCCTCAGTCTGAGGTGCTGTATTCAGCTCAGTCTCTTAAATAGCACCTTCTCAGAGTAGATCAACCAGTTTTGCTGCTGACAACCAAAACCAGCTGATCACATGCTCAAGAAGGACCATCAGCCTAACAATGGATCATTAGCACCTGATGGCTGTTTACTGTTCACAGAGGGCTGAGTGATACTAGCAATCACAGCATTGTAAGAGGGGGACAGTTGAACACGTAGGCCTCCACCCCTGTTTAATGATGGACGATTTCTTTTCACAAAGATGGCCTCCTTTACTCCTCTCTCAAACCATCGTTCCTCTCTGTCCAGGATGTGAACATCTTCATC